TCTTATAAAGAATGAATTTATCAACGGCTTCATCTTTGCTTTTAAGCAAATACACATAGCAGTATCGTGTGTTATCGTTGATAAACGTGATAAAATACTTATTACCACCTCTCGTTTGTATCGATCTAAAATCGCACAAATCACTATGGATTAATTCAAGTGGTTCAGTTTCCCTTTCAACCAATTTGAAAGGTACTTTCGTTAGTTTTGCCTCAACACAAATTTCACACTTGTTATTTGTGTCAATTGTAAAGTTAGAAATATGGTCCATGCTTATTAATCTACGCATAGAATTAAAATTAACATGACCTAGTCTACCATGCCACAAATTGGAAGACTCAACCAAGTAAACAGAATTAACTTTGCTTTTATTGATAACAGGAATTACACTGAGCTTGAAAAGCTCATCAGTTACATATCCTTTACCAACAAACATCCCTAACTTGGACAAAACTACTTTGTCTGACTCGAACACCATGCGAAAGCCATGCTTGTTCAACAGAGAGCCAGACACCAAATTCTTCCTCAGCTCATGAACATACAGCACGTTGTTCAACGTCAGTTCCTTCCCGGAAGTCATCTTCAGAACCACCTTGCCCATGCCTTCCACAGCAGACTGAGCGGAGTTTCCCATCCACACCTTTTCACCCTCAACGATCTCAAAGTTGTTGAACATCTCTCGGTTGCAACACAAGTGCCTGGTTGCATCGGTATCAATGAACCACTCACGAGGGTTTGAGCCCACGAGTTTCACCTCGGTCACCATAGCCGAAAGGCTAATCTCGACCTCCTTCTGACTGTTATCTCCAACAACATTGGCTTCAGAACTCTTGTTCTTCTTCCTTGGAACCTTGCATTGAGATGCTCTGTGGCCATGCTTGTCACAATTGTAGCATTCACCAAGAAACTTGTTCTTGGTAACGCCACCTTTCGGACCTAGCTTTCGCTTGTCCTTCTTGTTCCATTTGGAGCTCTTACCGTGCTCCACAACATTGGCCTTAGCGCCAACAACGATAGAAACTTTCCTATCATTCGTCCTGTTCCCTTCCTCAATCCTGAGTCGCTAGATCAGGTCCTCCATATTCATCTCATTTCGCTTATGCTTAAGGTAGTTCTTGAAATCCTTCTAACCTGGAGGCAAGAAGTGGATCACAGATCCCACTTGGAAGGCTTCACTTAGCACCATGCCCTCGTCACGGATCTCGTCAAAGATTAATTGCAAATCTTCTACCTGACTTAGCACGGTCTTTGAATCAACCATTTTGAAGTCGAGGAATCGGCCAACCACAAATTTCTTTAAGCCGGCATCCTCACTTCGGTATTTATGATCCAAAGCTTCCCACAACACTTTTGATGTGCTTATCTTTCGATATACATCATATAGCGTGTCACACAATCCATTCAGGATGTAGTTTCGGCAAAGGAAGTCCGAATCCTTCCAATAGCCAACCGCCATCACGGATTGTGCATCTTGTTCCTTCAACTCGGGAACCTTCTCGGACAAGAACCTTGCCAAGCCGAGAGTTGCTAGGTAGAACAACATCTTCTGTTGCCACCTCTTGAAGTTCGAACCAACACCGATGAACTTCTCCGGCTTTTCAGCCGAACCACTCGGTACCGAAGGTACCCGAGACATGGGAATATATCCCTCAGTGCTCCCACCATCTTGTGAACCAACGTTCACTGTTGTAGCTTGGGAATTAGCAACATTGTTGCCGTTTCCTCCATTGTTGTTCTCAACAACATTTTCTTCCCCATTGTTAACGATAGGCACCTCTGTGTTCTCCATTTCTTCAGGGAAATTAGAGAAAACAACCAACGGGAAATCAAGGAATAAGGTTTTAAGACTGTTGGAACCGTTAGTAGAAAAACAAATAATAATCAAATAAAAATAAGATTATTATTTTTCTGGAAAGAAAATAGGGAAGGAAAGATGGAGAATTTTTTGCTCGTGTTTGGTGTTGGGTTTTTGCAAGAGTCAAGCGATCACTCTTTCCTTAAAACCTTATTTGCCACTTCCCAAAGATGCTAGGAGCGTTGTGGCCTAGGCTTCCAAGGATAAAACTTGCTATGATTCAATGTTTGAGCATTCAAACAGAGAATTCGGCGAGCAAGACGATGGCTTTGAACACAGTATAGCTCAAGAAAGAGTATAAGCAGAGAGGTTTTGAGGCTAAAAAGATGAACTTTTGTGTTCCAATTTTCTGTGTAAAAACTCTACTGCCCAACTCCTTCTTATATAGGGGTGGAAGACTTAAATAGCTTTTAATTAGGCACCCCCACTACACCTGGTAACAGCAACCATTACCATGGGTTTCAATTCAAAATTTAATATTGGAATTAATTCCATAACAGTAAGAATTGAACACTGGAATTAATTCCATAACAGTAAGAATTGAACACCCAACGGTCACAGAAAACAGTATAGGTTCGTGCAGGCCCGGTCACAGAAAACAGTGTGCCGGCGCACACGAGCTCCCTTTTCAATCTCTTCTAGTTGGAATTTGATTTGCACCCCCCCCCCCCCCCGCCACGCGAGAGAGCCTCTATGCTATACAATTCTACAAGCTTCAAAAGAGCTCTTATATATAAGGGGGGAAAATCCTCATTCCAAACCAATGTGGGACAAAGCTCACTTTTTCCCTTCATTTTTCCAACTCAATGGGTCTACTTTGAGAATCAATATCTCATTCACCCATTATCCGTTTTGAGCGTACAATATATCGATCTCTTCGTCTCACTACGAAGAATCCGAATCCACTTTGGCCCGACCCAAATTGGAAGTGGACCCCACTGATAATTATACCACAAAATAGCCACTTAACATGCTATTTTATGCCATTTTAAGCTATTTCTTCCAACAGGGCTAACGTAGATCCAATTCGGATATGGAATCCGGCCTACTTCATACCATAACTGTCTAAGCTAACAAAGGAAGCTACTTAAAATAAATAAGGAAGTCTTCGTGAAATCTGCCTGTAACTGCCTCTAGATTAGGGATGGGAATTCAACCCGTCCCCGACGGGGAAAACCGATCCCTGCCCCGACGAGGGCGGGTTCGGGGATTTATTTCGGGGAACGGGGGCGGGGATAGGGGGAATTTCCCAATCCCCGCCAGGGACGGGGACGGGGATGGCATTCCTCACCCGGTCCCTGTCCCCGATCCCCGATCCCCGCCTCATCCCCGAATCCCCGTTTTTTTATATAATATATAATATGTATTATATTAATAATAAAATTTTAAAAGTAAAATACTATTATATTTAGCATGTTGTTACTAGTATTCTACATCATATTTGGTTGTTTTTCCAACTGTTTAAACTGCCCTATTTTTTTACTGTTAAAACTATCCAACTTAAATAGTGAATTACCCCATTTTTTTTCCATTGCAATATGTCTAACTGTTTTATATTTTGCATGCTGTTAATATCATATTGTAACATAATAATATATTGATAAAATTATATAATGAGGTTTGTTGATTAATTTTATATTTGATTAATTAAATTATTCTGGATTTGGACTTTGTTTAAGGATTCGCTTAAAAATATGAATTTTTGATAAAATATTAGTATATTTTTTTCATAGGTATAAATCAAAAAATGGGACGAGGATTTCCCGTCCCCGAAAAATCCGCGCGAGGACGGGGATGGAGAATAATTCTCCATCCCCGCCGGGGAACGGGGCGGGGATGGGGAATGGTTTTATGTATAGGGTTTCTCTCTAGGGTTTTTCTAGAGTTCTCTCTACATCTCTACTAGGGTTTCCTAGGGTTTCGACTATTTTGCTAGGGTTCCGACTGCAATCAACGTTGTTTTCACCGGCGAAACATCTTGCGTTAGCAGCGTGACGTTGCTGTTGAAGGAGGCCGTGATGGAGAACCAGCCGAACGCCGCTGTAGAGGAAGAGCTGGTGGAGGGCTACGCGGGAATATCCTTGATTGACGAAGAAGAGGTTCTGGTTCCGGCGGGAGGGGCAGCGACGCCAGACGGTGGGGGGGAACGCCGGACATGGGTTCTAGTAGGGAGGTTTTTGACTCGCAAATTGGTCAAACTTGAGTTCATGCGTGAAGTCTTGGCATCCGTGTGGCAGCCGGTGTGTGGTGTGCAGGTCTCGGAATTACACCCAAATCTGTTCATGTTTGTTTTCTACCATCAAACGGATTTGCAACGGGTAATTGATGAGGGACCATGGGCGTTTGATAATCATACATTAGTATGTAAACCGGTAGAAGATGGGGTGTTGCCGATTGATGTGGAACTGGATAGTGTTGACATGTGGGTCCAAGTCTATGGTCTCCCGATGGGCTACACGTCTATGGTCATTCAGGAACAAGTGGGTAATACTCTGGGTCGGTTTGTGAAGGGGGGTGAGAGATTTGATGACCGGCCGTGGAAAGCGTTTTACAGGATACGTGTTAGTATTCCGGTGGCAAAACCGCTGCGTCGAAGGATGAAGTTTGCAAAGCGGGATAAGACGTGGTGCTGGGTGAGTTTTAAGTATGAGAGATTACATACTTTTTGCTTCTTCTGCGGTTTATTAGGCCATTCCTACAAATTCTGTTTACAAGCAAGGAATTCTACTCTTACTGTGGATCAATATCCGTATGGGGTGGAGATGAAGGCAGGGTTACCACGAGGGCCAAGACCCGTGGGTGGTTCTTGGTTGATACCCGTGGGGGGGAAGAGGGAGGAGGTGGTAGGGGAGGGGAGAGGGCGGGGTACATCGGGAAGGGAGGGTGCGGTGGTGGAAGGAGGGTGTCCGGTAGGGCAGCCGGTAGATGGGGAGGGTGTGACATGCGGGCCTAAGCGGCGTAGGGAGGAGACGAGGGGTGGTGAGGGAGGAGGGGAAAGGGTTGGAGAGGATGTGGTAATGACAGACATCTCAAAAAACTTGTTCATGGCGGGTTCTAGTTCCCAGACCCGCCCGTCCCAATGAGTACCTTGAGCTGGAACTGACGTGGCTTGGGTGATCCACGAACAGTTCGGGAAATGTTGGATATGGCATCCAGAAAGAAGCCCGATTTTATTTTTTTAATGGAAACAAAAGTTGCTAGAGATCATGCTGAGCGGTTACGTGTGAAGTTAGGGTTCCAGGGGTTGTTCTATGTGGATAATAGGGGACGGAGTGGCGAGTTGGCTCTGTTCTGGAAAACGAATGATACAGTGCGTCTATTAAGTTACTCTCGTAACTATGTGGATGTAGAAGTCCAGGTGGATGGTTTGGCACCCTGGAGGATGACGGGCTTTTATGGTTTCCCAGATCGTGGTGATAGGGAGGAGTCTTGGAATCTTTTGAGACGCTTGAGGTCCCGTTCTATGTTGCCTTGGGTTGTCTTGGGGGATTTTAATGACTTACTATTTCAGTATGAGAAAAGGGGGCGATGCAGGCATCCGGAATCTTTGTTGAGGGGTTTCGGTGAAGCATTAGAGGACTGTGGATTGATACAGTTACCCATGATTGGCTATCAGTTCACATGGGAAAAGGGGGAGGGGACGGAGGATTGGGTGGAGGAGAAATTGGATAGAGTGGTGGCGACTGACGAGTGGCGGGAGGTGGTGGAAGGGGCCCGGGTGTATAATGTTCTGACCAGGAGATCGGATCACTCTGCTCTGTTTCTTGACATTCGGCCAGGGGAGGGAATTCGAGTTGGGTCGCGCCAATTTCGCTTTGAGATGGCCTGGCTGTTGGATGAGGGGTGTAGGGGGGTGGTGGAGGAGGCGTGGGGGCGGGGGGTGGAAGGTTTACAGGCCCGGATTGAGAGATGTGGTATCAAGTTGCAGAGATGGGGTGGTGATCGCTTCCATAAATTTGGGAAACGGATTGCTAATCTCAAGAAACAGCAATTGAATTGTCGTGGTCGTGTGAGCCCCGAGGCGTTAGCCGAGTTCCGCCGTTTGGAGTCTGAGCTAGTAAGATTGGAAAAGCAAGAGGATGTATTCTGGAGGCAGAGGGCGAAGCAACATTGGCTTTGTGGGGCGGATGCAAACACTCGCTTCTATCACAGGTATGCTTCTGCCCGAAAACGAAAGAATACTATTTTACGCCTTAAAGATGAGTCGGGGGGTTGGGTAGATGGTGAACCAATGAAAGCAGTTGTGATGGACTACTTTAATAATATTTTTGCTGCTAACCCCGATGTGTGTAATGGAACGGACTTTTTTGCCTCTATCCCAATTCGGGTTACTCACACACATAATGAATGGCTGAATCGGCCGTTTGACCCGGGAGAAGTGAAAAATGCGTTATTTGCTATGTTCCCAGACAAAGCTCCAGGACCGGATGGAATGAATCCGGGATTTTACCAGAAGTTTTGGGATATAGTTGGTCCAGATGTGACTAGTTGTGTGCTGCAGTGTCTGAATACAGGGTCTTTACCAGTTGGGCTTAATGAATCGAATATTGTGCTTATCCCGAAAACACAGTCCCCTGAGATGGTTACGGATCTACGCCCGATTGCCTTGAGTAATGTTGTTTACAAGGTTATTGCAAAGGTAATTGCTAATCGTATGAAACCCCTGTTGGGCGATATTATTTCTGTATCGCAGAGTGCTTTTATTCCTGGCAGGTTGATTACTGATAATATCTTGATAGCAGCTGAGGTGGGACATTTCCTTAACAGGAAACAGTTGGGTAAAGTGGGGTGGGGAGCATTGAAGCTGGATATGGCGAAAGCCTATGATAAGATGGAGTGGGCATTCTTGAAAAATATGATGTTGGCGTTAGGCTTCCAGGCTGGATGGGTAAATTTTATCATGGAATGTGTCACTACTGTTTCGTATAATATTATGATCAATGGTGTGTCAGGAGGACAATTAATCCCATCTCGCGGACTCCGGCAGAGAGATCCTCTGTCCCCGTACTTGTTTCTTATCTGTGCAGAGGGGTTATCATTATTATTGCAGCAGGCCCAGGACAGAGGAGAGGTTCATGGCTTAAGGGTCGCGAGGGGTGCACCACCTCTTTCACATCTTTTGTTTGCAGATGACAGCCTTCTGTTCTTTAAGGCAAATATCGGAGATGCACAGGCGGTTAAACGGTGTCTTACTAATTATGAGAAGCTCTCTGGTCAGACTATTAATTTTAATAAGTCAAATATATGTTTTAGTAAGAATACCCAGCAGGTGGAAAGAATTTCGGTGGCGGCAGTTTTTGGGGTTCATCAGGCACATAACTTTGGAAAATATTTGGGGTTGCCGGCTTTTGTGGGGAGGAATAAGCGGTCAGTGTTTGCTTATGTGGAGGATAAAGTAAGGCAGAGAATAGGCTCCTGGAATAAGAAACTTTTGTCGCGGACGGGTAAAGAAATTTTACTCAAAGCAGTGGCGCAGGCAATGCCAACGTTTACTATGAGTGTATTTTTGTTGCCTGACTCATTATGTAAGAATCTGGAGCGAGTTATGAATAGATTTTGGTGGCGCAATGGAAGGGATGGAGGGGGAATACATTGGCTAGCCTGGGACAAATTGAGTGTACCAAAGAAATATGGGGGCCTGGGTTTTAAGGACTTGAGAGCTTTTAATGTGGCTATGCTGGGTAAGCAGGGCTGGAGATTTTTGACAGACCCCAATTCTTTGGTCGCAAGAGTTTTTAAGGCAAGATATTACCCGAACACAGATTTTTTGAATGCCTCAGTTGGAAATAACCCAAGTTTTCCATGGAGAAGTATAATGGCCGCCCAGGAACTCATTAACCGAAATGTTAGACGAAGAGTTGGAAATGGGGACTCAACGTTAGTTTGGGGGGACCCGTGGTTGATGCGTGAATCTGAGCCAAGAATCGTATCAGAAAAGCCCCCTCACCTTGGGGAGGTTAAAGTTTCAGGTTTAATTGATCCGGCAACAGTTACCTAGGACATACCTTTGCTCAATGAGCTTTTTTCAGAGGTGGAGGTGAAGCAGATTTTGGCTATTCCAATTAGCCCAGCCTATGATGATATGTGGTATTGGCATGGGAACCCTAAAGGGGTCTATACGGTAAAAGCTGCTTATCGAAATTTAATGGGAACCATAGACGCACCCCCAAATGGGTTCACATCTTGGAATAAAATTTGGAACCTCAAAGTACCCCCGAAGTGGAAAGTTTTCTTGTGGAGAGCTGTGAGAGGAGTATTACCCACCACCATGAACCTATATAATAGGAGGGTAGATGTCCCTTTAGCATGCCCTTTGTGTGCTCTAAACTCTGAAAATGTTTTACACTCTTTGGTACAATGTGAATTTTCTAAAAGTGTGTGGAATATTTCGGGATTTGTTGTGCAGAGTACGGTGGATGGTGACTTTGGTGTGTGGCTTGAATTATTGCTCCAAAATATTGATGCGAAACAGTTTACTTACATGGTGGCTATTATGTACAATATTTGGATGCAACGGAATACGGCGGTGTGGGAGCATAAGGTGGGTAGACCACGGCTTGTATATGAACGGGCAATGGCTACATTGGCGGCTTGGAGCACGGCCACGAATCGAGGGGAGAGGCAGCATCAACCTTCCGCTGCTACTGCCAACACAGGGCAGCCCGTGTCACGGCAGTCCGCTGCCGACGCTGCGCAGGCCGCTGCCGACGCTATGCAGCCCGGGTCGCGGCTCCGTTGCTTCTTTGACGCAACCTATTCGGCCACAACACAGCAAGGGGCGTATGGTGTTTTACTCCAGGATGCGAATGGAAATTTTTTGGCAGCCAAAAATGGCCCCTTACTACTTTGTCAGGGACTGTTTATGGCGGAGGCGTATGCATGTAAGGAGGCACTGTCTTGGCTTAGAGATCGTGGAGTCACGGAGGTGGAGTTACGGTCAGATTGTTCGAATTTATGTCACACACTTGGCAATTCAGCGACGGAGGATCGCACTTATGATGGTTTAGCTGTTTCAGCATGTCGAGATTTGATGTCTATTTTAATTTTCTGCTCTATTATTTATATTCCTCGATCGTTAAATATTTTAGCTCATACGTTAGCTCAGTCAGCCTCTGCGCAGGCAAACTCGATGTTATGGGAGGATAACCCTCCCTCGTTTATTTCGGCTTTGATTGATTAATATATACAGCAGTTTACTTTCAAAAAAAAAAAAAAAAAAAAAAAAAAAAAAAAAAACCTTTTTTAATTAGGGAATAGAGTTTTTAATTGAAGGGGTAATCAAATCTCATAGTTGTGTTGTAAAAAGTTGTCAACCAAACACTAACTATGATTTTGATACTCATTCCTAGTGTGTAAACCCATGAACCGAACACACCCTAAGATTTTAATATAGAGTAATAATATTAGGCATTGATTTTTGCACATCGCGCATAGAAAATACTAGTATAACTATAAATTTGAATAATTTATTCTTGTATATATGCACCATGTTGTATGCAAAAAAAAACAAAAAAAAAAAAACAAAAACAAAAAAAAAAAAAAACAAAAACAAAAACAAAAACAAAAACAAAAACAAAAACAAAAACATATAAAACTTTCTTTTTATTTTTATTTTTAATATAATTTTTAAATATATAAATTTTATATAATACTACTAAACTAAATATCGCAAAAAATTAAATTGCACAAAAAGGAGTACATAATATCTAATACTATCTAAATATAAATACTAAAAAATTTCACTAGTGAAAATATTAAAATCTTTATAGGTTGTGACTAGAAGTGATCACATGCCAATTTAAGATTGAACCAAATAAAAGCCGGTGCATAAGTTAAGCATTTTGCCACCTCTAGTTGTGACCTAATGTAGTCAATTCAAATAAAATTATGTGATTTGACATAAAGTTTGTTATAAAATAGTTGAAAAAATAGCATTGCTGGATTTGAAAAATCACAGAAATCAGAGAAAAAAGTTGGTAATAGTACTTTTGAAGCAAGTGAGGAAATTTATGAGTGAATGGGAGGAGAGGATGTGGAATTGGGGTGTTGGACAATAAAGTAGAGAAAAAGGGGAGAGGCAGTCCGGAATCAGAGTCATTGTCTACTAGACAACCATTATCAAAGCTATCACTACACAACAAAAATTTTCGGGACTGTACTTTAACTTGTTACACATCATTTTCAGCTAACTTTTCCTTCTTTCACACTCAAAAGCGAAGTCCTATTTGCCTCCAAAATGTAGAATCACTACTTTTTTTATTAGGGCTTGAACTCATAATCTCTTACTTGGAAGAGTCACTTCGTGTCACTAGATCACAAAATCATTGTCTAATTCAGTGACTTTTTAAATAAGAGAATCAATGCCTGATATCCAAATACAAGTGGCTATCAAGACTCGGTCACATTTAATCTACCACATAAATATTAACTGAGCCACCTATGTGAACAACTTTTTTCCAATTTACTCCCCCTTAGGTCTTGGCTTTCTCCGGCCTACTCCCTTTAGTCCCTTTGAATTTTGGATGTTTTTATCGTTCACACATCTCAATTCCACATCAACAAACAATCAACTCATGAATGGGAGAACCATCTTTTTCTTCCCCTCCAAGTCTTTCCTTTTATAGTTTTATGCATCATTAATGTATATATGACTAAAATTGTGGTGTAGGATTCACGTTAACATTACAATTCACTTTAACAATTTGAAAGTGTTAAAATACAAGAAAGAATTATTTACACGAATTTTTTATGTAAGTATTTTTCACTTTTGATTTTCGATTATTATACATCTTTTAAATTTGGTCTTCGACCAGTGGTGGATCGGTGCCACAATGGGGACAGTGGGATCAGCTGCCCCCACTCACCTCTTCCCACTAATATATATTCATATGTAAAGATAACCAAGTATTTAGCAACTCAGTTGGTTAAACTTTGGTTATAATATATGAAATGGTATGGGTTTAAATCCCACCTATAACACTTTTTTTTTTGTGAAGTCTATAACACTTTAGTATATTTTAGTTCTACCCACCTTTTTTGTGAATCATTTAGTTAATGTAGTCCACAATATTTTACTATAAATATTTTTATAACATTTCAAAGTGTTTTAAAATTTCACCTTACCCAAGTACAGTTTTGGCTTCATTCCTAACTATCATATAGTCTATCATAAATATTTTATTATAATTTATTAATGTATTTGAACCGTATATATTATAGGTGTTTGATATTTTGGCATTAATAATTCTAAAATCATTTTAAGTACGCCCCCACTCATGTAATTTTCTGGATCCGCCACTGTCTTTGACTATATGTAATTGTGTGTTTTACGTCCATGTTACTCAAACTCAAATAATAGAAATATCTTATCCTTTCAAATAACTAACATGACAATGATGTGCGAGATTTTAACTTAGGGTCCGTTTGGAAAGCAGGAAAATGACTTCTGGAAAATGTTTTTTGGAAAATGAGTCATTTTCCGGAAAACATTTTCCTTTCCAGTGTTTGGTTGCATTATGGAAAACTGTTTTTCTGTGTTTGGTTCATTTTCTGGAAAATGAGTAGAATTGTATAATTAAACATTTTAATTATTTTATTTAGAATATTACAACATGTATAATAATATATAATAATATAATATTAATTTTAAATATAATAAAAAATAGCTAAGTTTTTCAAAAAAAAAAAAACTAATAATATATCAAAAATATTAAGGTGGTGGTGGTTGTGGTGTAGTGGTAGTGGTGTTATTCGTTATATAATAATAATAATAATAATAATAATAATAATAATAATAATAATAATAATAATAATAATAATAATAATTGGTGGTGGTATGACGGTGGTGGTGTGGTGGCGGTGGTATGGTGGTGGTAGCGACGGTGGTGGTTGCGGTGGTATGGTCGTGGAGGTGGGGGCGGCGGCGGTGTGATGGTGGTGGCGGTGGTTGCGGTGGTATGGTGGTGGCAGTGGCGACGGTGGTTGCGGTAGTATGCTGGTGGTGGCGGCGACGGCGGTAGTGGTGTTTGTGTGCTGGTGGTGGTAATATGACGGTGGTGGCAGTGGTCGTGTGGTTGCGGTGGTGGTGGCGGCGACGGTGGTTGCGGTGGTATGATGGTGGTGGTGGCGACGGTGGTTGCGGTGGTATGGTGGTGGTGGTGGTGGCGGCGGCGGTGGCGGTGTGGTGGCGGTGGTGTGGTGGTGGTGGCGGTGGCGGTGGTATGGTGGTAGTGGTGGCGGCGATGGTGGTTGTGGTGGTATGGTGGTGGTGGCGGTGGTAGCGGCGACAGTGGTTGTAGTGGTATGGTGGTGGTGGTGGTGGTGGCGGCGACGGTGGTTGCGGTAGTATGGTGGCGGTGGTTGCGGTGGTATGGTGGTGGCGGTGGTATGGTGGTAGTGGTGGCGGCGACGGTGGTTGCGGTGGTATGGTGGTGGTGGTGGCGACGGCGATGGTGTGAAGGTGGTGGTGTGGTGGTGGTGTGGTGGCGGTGGTATGTGGTGGTGGTGGTGGTGGTATGGTGGTGGTGGTGGTGGTGGTAGTGGTTGCGGTGTTGGTGGTGGTTGTGGTGGTGGTGTGATGGTGGCGGGGGTATAGTGGCGGTGGCGGCGGCAATAGTGGTGGTGATGGTGGTATGGTGTTGATGATGTTGGTGGTGGTGTGATGTTGGTGTAAAAGTTGGAAAATGACTTCCCCCCAAAAAAAGGGGAAGTCATTTTCCTCCAAAACAAGCCTATTTTCCAAAGTCAACGGAAAATGATTTTCGTTGACTTGATTTTCCAGGCACATCCAAACACTGGAAACTTGGAAAATGATTTCCAGAACTCATTTTCCAGGTTTCCAAACACACCCTTAGTTGATCAGAAGGATAAAATGTAACATGAATTTGATAGTCAATAACTAAAAATGATAAAGTTACAATATAATTGTTAGAGAAATAAAAGTGAAAATAACTCGTTAAATTTTAGTGCATATCTTGCTCCGCAAATTATGCCATGGAATCGTGTTCACCGAGAATGGTGAACACAAGGCAAAACGACGTCGTTTTTAAGCAAAAAAAAAAATATTTCGCGAATGTGGAGTTAACGGCGCGCGTTTGATCAAATTATGAATTTTCTGTTTTGAGATTATGAATTTTATGAAAATTCATAATCCCATAACAGAAAATTCATAATCCCATAACAGAAAATTCATAATCCCATAACAGAAAATTCATAATCTCACAACTGAAAATTCATAATCTCATAACAGAAAATTCATAATCTTATTAACAGAAAATTCATAATCTCATGGTTCCAAAGTGAATGTGTAGGCATGGTTCCAAAGTGAATGTGCAGGCATGGATTCATAATTTATGAATGTCCGTGATTTCGGACGGGAATATGTAGGCATGGTTCCAAAGTGAATGTGCAGGCATGAATTCATAATTTATGAATGTCCGAAATTATGAATGTAATGAAAATTCATAATCGCATAACAGAAAATTCATAATCTCATAACTGAAAATTCATAATCTCATAACAGAAAATTCATAATCTTATAACAGAAAATTCATAATCTCATGGTTCCAAAGTGAATGTGTAGGCATGGTTCCAAAGTGAATGTGCAGGCATGGATTCATAATTTATGAATGTCTGTGATTTCGGACGGGAATGTGTAGGCATGGTTCCAAAGTGAATGTGCAGGCATGAATTCATAATTTATGAATGTCCGAAATCTTTGTTCACCTCAAATTAAAGTGAAACCGCAAAAATGTGAAAATAAAGAAAAAAAGTCACGCAATTAATTAAGAAAAAAAAATAAAAAAAAATAAAAAAAATAACGGTGTACTAACACCGTTGGAACCGTGTTCACCATGAATGGTGAACACGGTTCCATGGCATAACGTCCCATCTTGCTCTCAGTAAGGCTTGAATTGAAATAAAATGGTCTTTTTTTTGCCATTAAAAAGGGTAATTGGTGAATTACATGCAATATGTACAATATGAATTAGACAGTTAACTTATTTATGATGTAACTCTGTAAACTTATTAATTGCACTATGACTTGATCGATAAATCGGAGATGTAAATATAAATCAAACGTCCAAATACATGCATCACCGGGGCATACCCCTGTTTACACCAAAAAATAAAAGCCAAATCTAAAATAAATGTGTCTAAAAGAGAAACAAAACACAAGTGAGCCCTTACGGCAAAATAAAGTTTGCTGTGCATCACATGATTAAATCATGTGCACCAAAGCCCTTCAAATGCAGAACAAATCATGTGGATTCGAACCCCGGCCAAGCATGCCCTTGCGCGCCCACTCTGCCACTGCACCACACTGCACTGTATGCTCAATCTCTCAAAAATAATATATGTTAAGTGAAGCAGCCAAGCGTCCACAATAGATAGGGAGAACTCAAGAAAATCCTCCTCCATGAGTGAGAGTCGACCCAACGCCCTGAGGCTTCAAGTGTTACTCTCTTCCCGACCAACCAAGAAGTCCACGTTGATAAATCCATACAAAATAAACTAGTTGAATTCTGATGCCAAGAATCGGGTTAACCCGCATCTAAGTTGGTCGACCCGATCCAGAACATGCATGAATCATGCATCACGTACAGCTATCCTCTATCATCAGCAAAGCGCGTTGTGTAAAAGAAAATCAGGAAAAAAATCAATCAAAAGCAAGAATCACCTAATAATCCGGTAGATACCAAAGATAGCCATCCTTCCTTCCACGGATCAGAGACGGTCAACCAGCCAACTCACCGGAGCTCCGGCGTTCCCGATTGACTCGCCGGCAAATGGAGAAATACGGCCACCCAGAATCCACCGGAAAGAGAACCAACAAAAAAACATTACGACATACACCCAACACATCCCGGCAACACAGTCCGCCGGAAAACTTGAACAATCCAGACCCAAACCTCAATCTTCGCCAGCGGCCTTTTTCTTGTTCTTCTTCTTTTTCTTTTTCTGCTTACCAGTGCTAGGAGGTTCCGGGTTTCTGATTCCAAGACTAGATAATAGTTGTTAGCTCATGATATTAGTTAATTTGATTATTGATTGCATTAATTAATTGTATATGTAAATATACTTGATAAAATCATTTATAATTTAGATAGAGGACAAATTGCGATCAACAAATAAAAGATAATGAAGTAATGAGTCAAAATTAAAAGAGTAAAATTAAATGTGACAATGTTACAATATATAATCGAAGACTAAAAATTAATTTTTTTTCTCTTATAATTTATAAGTAATTATTCAATTCAATCCCGTTTAATGATAGAACAGTTTGTATCAAACACTACTAAAATTAATTTTTCAAAGAACTTATCATGAATTACTATGGTAAAGCTCCAAAAAATATAATTTTCAAGCACGCCAAAATCATAGATTAAGACCGATGGGTCCGATTCACATGAGGATCCATCCTTAGGTGATTACGTGAGGCTAATTTTGTGCGTTTATTTTTTTATTTGGATGGTCCAAATTTGATTTCCTAACATAGATTGATATGTTTTGTTAAAGTGAGGTTAGTAGTGTATTTTTATATTTTTTTTAAAGTGTGAATCATGGGTAATCCATGACCAAATTGGTTTCCCATTTTCTTAAATCATCACTGTTGCGATTTGGAGTCGCGATTTCTTCATCATTGATCGAGTGTTCGCCCATGCAAAGTGTTCAGTATATTTTATTTTTTTCGCTTGTGCTTTTGAGTATAATATTGCATATATTTAGATGCTGGTATATATGGAAAAATGTTTGGGTAGTACGATTGTGCATTCGTATGTGCTGGTTGTGCAACCTGTCGTTATATCGTGGACCGCGATGCATAATCGATTATGCACCGCGCATCAAAACGGCGTCATTTCTTTAAGTAAAGAAACGACGCGATGTTAGTGTTAACGGAGTGACACTACAGTGTATCTAAACCGACACTGACTCACGTATTATTTTTATATTATCAAATGAAACTGCAGTTATATCAAAATGATACTGTAGTTGTGGTGAAATGAAACTTCAGTATATATAAAATGAAACCGAATAACATTTCACATATTTGAGTGTATATTGTACAATGAAGCTGTAATTATATCGAAATGATCATGTAGTTGTGTTTTAATGAAACTATAGTATATATAAAATAAAATTAAATAACATTTTCACATATTTGAGTGTATAAATATTGAATGAAACTGTAGTTATATCGAAATGAAACTGTAGTTGTGTTGAACTGAAACTGCAGTGTATACAAAATAAAACTGAAGAACAGATCAGAGTTATTTTTTGTGGAACGGCGCGAAACGAATTCTGTTTCTTTTCATTAAATAAAACGATGTCGTTTTGATGCGCGGTGCATAATCGATTATGCATCGCGGTGCACGATATAATTTGCCTTGTGCAACCTAGTGTTGTAACTTGTAAGTTGTGTACCGTAGGCTGGTGGATGTGCATTACTGAACGTAGTTTGGTGCATCGTAGGACATTGAGATGTCCATCGTAGGATTTTTTTTTTTGGTGGTGTTTGAATGCAAAACCAAAGAGTTACCAATGCACAACATTCGGTATAAGAATGCATGATATTTTGTATATGAATGCACAACTTCTAGTAAGACTGATTTACACCTAACTGTATATTTTGTAATATTTTAAAGGAATTTTTTCCTTAATTTGGTTCCTTTTAATCTCAGTCGTGCATCATTCTGATTTAATGGTCTAGATTAGTCCTCATGTCCTCACCTAAGTATGGGTCCTTATTTGATTTGAACTATATATATATATATATATATATATATATATATATATATATATATATATATATATATATATATATATATTTTGTATATGAATGCACAACTTCTAGTAAGACTGATTTACACCTAACTGTATATTTTGTAATATTTTAAAGGAATTTTTTCCTTAATTTGGTTCCTTTTAATCTCAGTCGTGCATCATTCTGATTTAATGGTCTAGATTAGTCCTCATGTCCTCACCTAAGTATGGGTCCTTATTTGATTTGAACTATATATATATATATATATATATATATATATATATATATATATATATATATATGATCAGGTGCAAAGCTTGTGAAACGTGTGGATTAATCACATCCTTTGATCTTGCCAAAATCAACAGCCCAGAACATGGTTGAAAAAATCCAGGCGTCTAGCGCCTAGGCGGTGATTAAACGGCATCTAGAAGTCTATGCATTTTTTATTTTTTTATATTTTTTTAAAGACTAATAATTATAAGTTATTTAATACTTTAATAGTTATTACTAAAATATTAAATATTAACCTAAAAATATGTAAGGTTTGAACAATTTATAGTTATTTCATTCAAAACGATATCATTTTGAGTAAAATAATCTATTAAAAAAAAACAATAGCTAATCACCCGACTAGGCGGCTGCCTAAACCACTGATTATGGTGATACGCTAGGTGCGTTACTTTCTAGTTTAAGGTGCGTTACTTTCTATTTTAAGGTGCATTAGTTCGAAGCTTAAGGTGTCAGTTTTTTTTTGAATGCTACTGACCCTATTACATTGTAGTATCTGTTTAAACATATTTTCTCAACCTATTGAAACACAAAGAGTCAACAACGCCTCAACTGATGCTCGATCTCATGACCCCCCATATGAAAAATTCACCACTGACACTTGATTATTTGCATTCACACGTTGTCAAGGAAGCACATTTTGTTTTAAATTTTTTTTTTTTTTTATTGAAGCCGTTGATCAATATTAGATAAAGTACTCACCTCATTTTTTATTTGGGAGAAGCTCGCATGTGGACTATATATAAATTCTGCCCCTATCTGTCCTACTTACCCAAAAAGGTACTTTTCTACACATGGCCACCAACTCCTCCATGGAACCATACTCAACCCAAGCCTGTGAAAATATCTGCAAACAGATTCATGCCTCTCTGCTTCACCACCGGCTGAGCCTCCTGATTGGAGTTCTTGCCTCCCCGAACCGGGTCGAGTGCGAGAGGATCAGGGAGAAGTACAAGGAAATGTACGGAGAGGACCCGGTCCAGAGCCTTGAGGCCGCTGATGAAAATCAACCGGAAACCACTCAGGCTCTGGCCACGGTGCTGCTCAGCCCCCACGAGCGCGACGCCGCCTTCGCCCGGGAGGCTCTCCGGCGGGATGACGTAAATTTCAGGGCGCTGGCGGAAATCTTCACGTGCCGAAAATCCAGCCACGTTCAGCTCATACACCAGGCTTATGTGGCCAAGTTCAGAAGGCATTTAGATCATGATATTGCCAGCATTGAAACACCCTCCCCCTACCAAAAGGTTAGCACTCTTAACATGTAATAATCTATTTTTTTTTTTTTTTTTGAATGCTACTAGCTCTATTACATTGTAGTATCTGTTCATATACTTTCTCAACCTACTGAAACACAACGAGCTAATAATGCCTCCATTGAGGCTCGAACTTACAATCTTCCAAATGGAAGTCCAACCCGGGTACCATTAGACCACATAGTCCTGGTCTATACTAAAATTTATGCTAAAATTTATTTGTATATTTATGCTAAAATTTTACAATTTCCTGATTTAAAATTTCAAATGAAGTCTTATTTTGTAAATAAAGCCAAAGACTGGTATTGTGCATTTTATACAGATTCCAAGCCAAAAAGTATGGGATAATATTGATACTAGTATGGAGACAAATAATAATTTTTAATAAAAATATAATCTTTTTTATTAATAAAAAAGTAATACATTTTCACTAATATTTTTCAAAAATAAGTAATATTGTTCAATGAAAATATAATATTTTAACATCTATAAAAATTATTACACTTACACTAAAAAGTATTATATATTTACAATATATTTCATATGATAAAGTTTCTTCATACAAGGTTTTGTTTTGTTTTTTTTTATTCATATAAGTTTACATTGTAAAAAAATAAATAAATAAATAAATAAAAAAATCACGCCTTGCAATTTGTATACAAATGAATTAAAAGAATTACTGAAGTTTCAATTAATCTAAAGTAACGAATATTGAATATTTAATTTAAATTTATCAATAGTATTATATCAGTGAAGATTTAGTTGAAATGTGATATATCCATAATACGAGGCTAAACATTATATCATGAGCCAATATGTCAAACATTTTCTTAATTGGCTAACAATTAAGATTAACTTAGTGTAATATTGTCTCAAATGAGATGTGTAATATACAAATTTTTTTATTTAAAATAAAATAATGCATTTTATGAGATTATATAAAATAGAATTAATTCCACTAGAGGTCTCTTGTCTTTGGTGACAATTTCAAATTTAGACACAGACTATCGTTTTTGTCATTTTACATCCCAGACTATCGTTTTTTGGACACATTTAGTCCTTTTCATGACTTTATCTATTTTTAGTAAGGGTATTTTTGTCTCTTCATATTTTTCTTTTATTATTTTTCCGGTTTCAACCCGTTTAATTGGTTTAGAACTTTAGGTAACCTCTGATTTTTAGTAACCATATTTTTCAATCGATTTTTAGTAAAGTTCTAAACTAATTAAACCGGTTGCAACTAGAAAAATCACAAAAGAAAAATATGAAGAGACAAAAATTCTCTTACTAAAAATAAAAACAGTCATGAGAAAGACTAAAAATGTCCAAAAAAACGATAGTCTAGAATGTAAAATGGCAAACACGATAATCTGGGACTAAATTTGGAATTGCCACAAAAAACAAGGGACCTCTGATGAAATTAACTCTATAAAATATTATATTTTAATTATAAATATTACATGTCTCATAGTGCTATTTTTACTTTAATTTGGGGTTTTTCTTTCTCCTGTCTATGCATTTCCAGTTTTTCTTTTTCTAATTATTAAAAGCAAGATTTTATTTTGTGTTTTTTTTTGGGGATTAATTATTGTAGATATTAATGGCATTGTCTGCATCACATAAAGCACACAATGCTGATATTAGCCAACACATAGCCAAGTGTGATGCTAGGAGGTTGTACCAATCAGGGGAAGGAAGGTCAGGGGGAGGCATTGATGAAGCTGTTGTGTTGGAGATTTTAAGCAAGAGAAGCATTCCACAGCTCAACCTCACTTTTTCTAGCTATAACCACATCTATGGCCATACTTATACCAAAGTAAGTCTTTCTTTACTACCTCCTTTTATGCACAATCTTTTCGGCTTCTTTCAAATTCTTCTTGTTAGCATCAAGTGCACAATTGATGGGCTTGACCCTTTACCGGTCTCTACCCAACAATTTTTGTTTGGACTCAATTCCGTGATTTTTTTTATATCACTTGTTAAATCAAGAATTTACCACTATATTAAAAGCTATAGCTAGTAGCGAAGACACAACTTTATTTCCTTATGGACCGCCATCACATTTTTGAGAGGAAGGTGTTGGACTTGGCCATTCACCGATCTCCGCCCAACAATCCCTCTAGCCACCAATTGATGAACTTGACCATTTAATGGTTTCCGCTCCACATCATTTTAAAGCAACAAAAAATTTTAGATCAATATTTTTTATTATAGACTCAAGCCTTACTAATGTAGTTGTAGTAATGTGGCGCTAGTTTCTTGCAATCATTTTATCCTGGACCATGCTTCGATCACCTTACAATGTAAACCATTGACATAATGTCTATTTTTAATACATTAATTAAATGTTCATATTTTTTTTTTTTTTTTTTGTATCAAAGGTTCATTATTAAATATATTATCCAAAATTGAATTTTTAGTACATTAAAATGAATTTTAATCTCCGGAATTCCATATCATTTATTGGAAATTTTATTAGTTATTTTGAGGTTTGTTTTTTATTGTTTGTGTTGCAGTCTCTAAAGGATGGATGTTTGGGGGAGTTTGAAGATGCATTGTTGACTATAGTCAAGTGCATATGCAGTCCTTCCAAATATTTTGCACAGGTGATTTATATACTTTTCACGTTACTATATAGAAAGAGGTGGTGACATTATTATTATTATTATTATTATTGTTATTATTATTATTATTATTATTATTATGTAAATAGTAACAATGTATTATTATTTTATTTAAAAAACTAACACGTCTTTTTATTTATAATATTCAACATTATTACTATTTAACATTATAAATGTTTTCATAAACCAATATTGAATTAACTAAATTTCATATAATTTGTTCTTAAGCCATTTTCTATTCCGTCCATACAAGAAGTTACTCAAAAATCACATAACTCAAATCGACAAGTATAAAATTGAAAATTTATTTGGTTAAAAGTGGTTGTTTTGAATAGTTTTTAATTTACTCTCAAAATAAATAATGGATTAATGGTCTGTGCAGGTTCATATTTTAGTATATTACCTAGCACATTTTATTTTTAATTTTTTTAAGTGGGTAATAAATGAATAAACCTACTATTCGTCTATTCGAACCCATCTATTAATCAAAGCTTGTATAACCCCATAAATTATTTCTCAATCAATTAGTTCCTTAGTTCTAATGCTAATAACCTTACAGCACGTTTGGTTCACGGAATGAATTTGAAGGGAATAGAAATGCTATTCCATAGGAAATGGAATAGGTAAGGAATAGAATAAGAATTATATTATGTTGTTTGGTTGACTGAGGGAATAGACTTTAGTAATTGTATTTCAATGTTTGGTTGGTTAAATGAATAGAAATGCAATAAGTTTTAAAGACATAAATACCCTTATACAAAATAATAATAATAATAATAATAATAATAATAATAATAATAATAATAACAATAATAATAATAATAATAATAATAATAATAATAATAATAATAATAATAATAATAATAATGGAATTAATTAAACCGGGGGTCCGACTTAATTAACTCGAATAAGAATACGGAAAATAAATAAGTAATATGAACGTTATAACAAAGGCCGTGAGACCGTAGATTGTATTAAATGCCGTAGAATTGGCGGTTACAGTAGTATTTCAGGACAAAGTATGTAAGAACCGTAGATCGTAGATAGCCTGCCTTAATGAGACAATGTGGGGGGTTTTTATACAACCCCCACCCCTAACCGCCACCCCCTAAGGCAGGGGGTGGTTGGATCCGAGTTGACCGCGCCCGGTCTCGCGACCGGGCCGCGCTGCGGGGGCCAGGCCGAGCTCATCATGGGCCCGGGCCGGGCTCGGCCTCCTGGAGAGGCCGGCCTGGCCTCCAACGTGGCCTGTGCGGGGGCCACGTGGCGAGGCCTCGGCCGAGGCGGGTACGTGGCGCCGCCCCGGGACCCGTTCTTGCTTCGCGACCTCGGGTCGGTTCGGGTCGATTCCCAATATATCCGTCATCAGTCCCCTACTCTCCGAGCTGCGAGTAATCGTCAGTGAAGGAGAGTAGATGCCCGGCCGACCCACCAAAATGCCGACCCCGAGATGTCCGCGTCCCAGCCTTATAGGTGACGTCAAAGTGCACTTCTTGTGATAATAATGAGAACTCCATCCAGACCATGACTCCTTCATCTGCTAGGGCGGGTCGGCCGAGAATCATGTTGTGGGCGCAGTTCATTTTGACGACTACGAACTCGACCTCCCACCTCTTGGTGTGAGGTGGGGTGCCTATCTCCACCTCCAAAGTGATCGATCCCTCTGTCTCGATTGAGTCCCCCGTGAACCCGGATAGGGGGGTTCGTACCTGCTCCAGCTGCCCTCTTGAGAGTCCCAGCTGGGTGTATGTGTCGTGGTACATGACGTTGACCGAGCTACTCGTGTCCACGAGCACCCGGTGCACCACCACGTTGTTGATGTCCAGCTTGACCACCAAGGCGTCCCGGTGGGGGAGGGGCCCGTCAGGTAGGTTGGCGTCGGTGAACGTGATGGACTCCCTCTTTGGTTTCTTCTCGTGGGGTGTTCGTGTGACCTCCCCCACGTACAAGTTTCTCGCTCACTTCTTCCGCTCGGCTGGCGAGTCCCCTCCCTCGGGCCCCCCGAAGATGACTTAGATAGTACGTTTCCTCGGGGGCTGGGAGTCCTCTGTCATCTTCTCCTCCTCCTCGGAGCTGTTGTTGTGGTGGTCCCTCTTACGGGGAGCCGAGGTGGATGGCGCCTGGCCACCCCCTTCCTCCATACATTGCCTTGCTTCTGGCCCAGCGTCTGGCCTTGCGCCTCGCCGGGCTTCTTAATGAATTGGCCGAGGTAACCCATTTGGATGAGCTCCTCGATTTGTCTCTTTAGGAGGATGTATTCGTCTGTATCGTGCCCCTTCTGCCGGTGGAACCTGCAGTACTTGTTGGGGTCCCCCCTCGCCGATATCTTCATGCACTCCTCCTTCGGGAATACCACGATTCCCTGGTCCTCCGCATGCGCCAAGATGGTACCCACAGGTTGTGTTAGCGGGGTGAGATAGCATGTGGGGTTCAGCCTAGGCCCCTCAGCGTACTCACGTCGGTGTGGCCGCAGCGCCTTGCGCTCCTCCTGGGGTGCCTTGTCTTTTCGACCTCTTCCTTCCTCCTGCTCCTTCTTCCTCTTCTCGGCAGCCTCGGCGTCAGCGTACCTTGCTTCCTTGTCCATCAGGTCGGTATAGGTCCTGGGGGGGTACCTGATGAGGTCCTGGTGAAAAGCGTCTGACCTCAAGTTGTTTCGGAAAATCACCATGGCCGACTTCCCATCAAAGTCGGCAACCCCCATGGCGTCTTTCTTCTACTTGCTGAGGTACTCGGCTAGTGACTCTGAGCTCCCCTGCTTCAAATCACACAGGTCGGCAATTTGCTTCTTCCGCTGTATGCTGGTGGCGAAATGGGATAGGAACTGCCGCGTGAGGTCCGCGAAGGTGGAGATGGACCCCGCCGGGAGGGATCCGAACCAATCATGCGCCTGCCCGTCCAGGGTGGTGAAGAACCCCCTACACAGGATAACGTCTGTTGCCTCGGTGATCATCATGGCGGCTCTGTACCTGGTCAGGTGTGCCCGCGGGTCCGTGATCCCTGAGTACACCTTGATGGTGGGAAAACGAAAATCTCGAGGTAAGGGCTCCTCCATGATGGTGTTCGTGAATGGGGAGGCCAGCACATCCTGGGGCTCCGTGTTCGCGAATGGGGAGGCCAGCACATCCTGGGGCTCCGGAGACCGTCCCTCTCATCGATCTTCTTCTGGAGCTCGTCCATCCTCCTCCGCAGCTGCTCGACCTCTTCCCGATGGGAGCTCGGAGCTCTACCATTCGTTTCACCCGATCGTTCGACCCGGGAGGCCTGTTCACGTCGCGGGTGGGGTCGGGGGACCCGCCCCGCGGACCCACGCGAGGCTGCCTCGTGTCGCGGGGCCCATGGATCGGCGACCTCCGAGTGACCGATTCTTGTCGCAGTGGCCGGCGGGAGCATGATTCCGCCGCCGGTGGCCCGTTGGTCGGTCTCGGACCCAGCCTGTCCCGGGCCGACACGTGATCGCCCAACCTCTCCAGGGCGGGCCTGGTTTGGGTTGGTGCCCTTCCATTGTCATCGCGCTGGCGGTCTCGGCGGGAGTTCCCTCCTCCCCGCCTCTCCGATGGTCGAGGCGAGTTGACCTCCCCCTGGGTGATAGGTGCCTGGGGTGGCCGGGTGCTTGGACCGCTGCGCCCCCGGGTGGGAGGAGGTGGAGGTGACGCCGGTGCCCCTTGGGTGGCGCCTAGGTCGGCTTGTTCCTCTGCCCGAAGGCCCGCCGCGACGCGCGCCAACACCGTGGAGGCTTGTTCAAAGACCGCCACCCCCTCCTGGATGAGTGCGCGAGCCGGAGCGGGGGCAACATGGGGTGGTGACGGTGCACCACTGCCACGGTGGTTGGTGAGCTGGGCCCTTAGATCCTCCCCCGACCTGGTGGAGGCAGCCGGTTGGATGCTGGGGGCGGGGGCCCCGTTGGGACCGTTCCCGTTCGCGACGAGCTGGGGGCCGCAGGAACCATGGGTATGACGAGAGCTGGATCTCGATCTTGCCATCGCTGTGGATGTTGATAGTGGGGAGAGCGCTTAAGCTTGTACAGCAGCTCTCAAAAAGAGCACCAATGATGGAATTAATTAAACCGGGGGTCCGACTTAATTAACCTGAATAAGAATACGGAAAATAAATAAGTAATATGAACGTTATAGCAAAGGCCGTGAGACCGTAGATTGTACTAAATGCCGTAGAATTGGCGGTTACAGTAGTATTTCAGGACAAAGTATGTAAGAACCGTAGATCGTAGATAGCCTGCCTTAATGAGACAAGGTGGGGGGGGGTTTTTATACAACCCCCACCCCTAACCGCCACCCCCTAAGGCGGGGGAGGTTGGATCCGAGTTGACCGCGCCCGGTCTCGCGATCGGGCCGCGCTGCGGGGGCCAGGCCGAGCTCATCATGGGCCCGGGCCGGGCCTATGTGGAGGTCGGCCCGGCCTCCTGGAGAGGCCGGCCTGGCCTCCAACGTGGCCCGTGCGGGGGCCACGTGGCGAGGCCTCGGCCGGGGCGGGTACGTGGCGCCGCCTCGGGACCCGTTCTTGCTTCGCGCCCTCGGGTCGGTTCGGGTCGATTCCCAATATATCCGTCAAATAATAATAAAATATGATTATGATATACTGAATGTTATATATATATATATATATATATATATATATATATATATATATATATATATATATATATATATATATATATATTTATTTATTTATTTATTTATTTATATACATGTATATGCATGTGTGTGAGAGAGAGAGAATACAATAATAATAATAATAATAATAATAATAATAATAATAATAATAATAATTATTATTATTATTATTATTATTATTATTATTATTATTATTATTATTATTATTATTATTATTATTATTATTATTATTATTATTATTATTATACAAATACATATTTATACTTATATTTATATTTATTTTCCCACTTATCCCACATCGGTTGGAGAAGTAAGGAACGGAGCCTTGAAGCTCCTATAAAAGGAGCCTCAAGG